TCAGAAAGTTGATGTGCTCTATCTGCAACTTTGTTTTGCAACTTGTTTAAGCTAATCAAATCCTACGTTCATCTTTCTGGGGAGGATGGACCTAATTGTTATCTCCTTTCTTCTACCTGCTCCGCATGTATATTTAGCTTATTCGTTATAAACATCAACCTTCTATTCATTTGAGATCATCAAGCTGTGTGTAACACTCCTTGCCTGTGTTCCTTACTCAGGAGCCGTGAGTTTCTTTGGCAAGAAGGACACACTGCTTTTGCAACTAAGGAGGAGGCAGATGCAGATGTATTTCGGTTATATGTTACAGTATGCAATTGATCATTAAAAATTCTATACAGGTAGTATCAGTGTTTTGGAGAGCACGAAGCGCAAAAAAGCGACGAGGGCTCGCCTCACCCAAAGCGCGAAGCTCGAAGCGAAGCGCGCGCTTCACTTCAGTGAAGCGCAATTTTAAAATTAAACTAAAATAAGCAATGCAAAGATAAATAAAATAACTAAATAAACAATAACTCAACAAAAATAAATATTTAACAAATGAAGCTTTATTTATAATTATAAATAAATATAAGCAGGTATTTCTCTATTAAATATAAATTATATTACATATCAATGTGTATCAAGTCCAATGTTGTGAAAACCGCTCGCTTCGCCTGAAAAGCGGTGAACATGCGCCTCGCTTTAAGCGACGAAGTGCGTGCTTCAAACAACATTGGGTAGTATATAGCTTGAAATATTGGATGTTAACTGAAATTTAGTAATTTATAAAATTCTTTTTCTTTTTATGCCTACCCCGTCCTTTGCCCTATGCTTGCATTTGCTATATGATGCAAAATTAAGCTTTCTGGAGCTGTTTGCATCAGGCCATGAGGCTTATGATTGTATCATGTTTGGAAGTGCTGAATAAGCTATCCTTTCCAGTTAATATTATTCATTAAAACCTGGTATTTGATTATTCTGTTTGGGATGGTGCAGAGAAGTAGGAGAACTATAGTTTTGTTTAAGCTCAAGGCGGCACCATGATACCACTTTACTTTATAGGACAAGCAAATCCTATTTTTGTGAACAATTATTTCGAGTTACATGGACCAGCCTGCTAAGCTGTCTTGACATGGGATGATGTCAGTGCCTGCTAACCTGTCTTCGAAGGAAGATGGATAGTGATGCTGAAGCCAGGATGTAAAAATTTTGCTCTGTTAAATTTCAAATGTGGGTTATATATTACCCTTCTCATTCAGGTTTAAATTGGAGGAACAATTGTGCTGGAGGGAAGAGTGGACCCCCTTAAAGTTTTAACTTTTTGAGAAGGCTATTTTGGGATAATCCAAAAGGGAAATATGAGCAGACAAGATCTGGAGAAAACAGATTTAACTTAAATTGTACTATGGGAATTTGTCGCTATGTATACGAATCATCATCGTAAAATCAGGGACGAATATTACAAAATGCAAATAAGCCATTTTCATGTGTTTGTAATTGTCCCACTTTCTGTCAAAATCTGGGCTGTTTTAGGCTTTGCTTCATGGCAGACAGACAATTCTAATCTCTGACTTGTGCATCTTCTGTATGCGGTGATTGTCTTTTAATCTTGTCAATATTTGTCTAATCAAAAGCAAATTCATTAGTATTACCCGTCTTTTGAGAGAACTAGTTGCTTGATACTGAGGTGCCCTGATTTATCCTAGACAAGAATTAAGAATTTGATGTGTCAGCTTCTATCTTTACTACTTATTAATAAATACATGTTCTGTCGATTTTTTCAGGTTCTTGAAATCTTGGAGTTGTATAGACGTATATATGAAGACTTCTTAGCTGTTCCAGTGAGTAAGGGAAAGAAAAGCGAGCTTGAGAAGTTTGCTGGTGGACTCTATACGACTACAGTAGAGGTAGACATTATTTGGCAGTCTTTTTACTGCTGGTGAAATTGTTCTTATCTCCATTCTTTTACATTGTTCACGGTTTTGTTTGCTAGGCTTTTATCCCTAATACTGGCCGTGGTATCCAAGGTGCGACTTCACATTGTTTGGGCCAGAATTTTGCAACAATGTTTGAGATAAATTTTGAAAACGAGAAGGGAGAGAAGGCTATGGTCTGGCAGAATTCCTGGGGCTTTACAACCAGAACGGTGGATATTCCCCATTGAGAAACTCTGTATTGTGCAGTTGGTAATTCAGATGTCAATCTAACTCACCCTTCTTTTATCTGGTACTGTGACAGATTGGTGTGATGATCATGGTTCATGGAGATGATAAAGGCCTGGTCTTACCTCCTAAAGTTGCAGCAACACAAGTAATTGTTATTCCCGTGCTATACAAGGATGCTAATAATCAAGGGATCTTTGACGCCTGTGCTGCCACTGTCAAAAACTTGAACGAATCAGGTATTCGTGCTGAGGCAGATTACAGAGACAACTACTCACCTGGCTGGAAATATTCTCACTGGGAAATGAAGGGGGTTCCTCTTAGGATTGAAATAGGACCAAAAGATCTTGCAAATAATCAGGTACGAATTATAGTTACTCTCTACTGATTCAGTTGTTCATGAAAAGTAGAAATGTTGTGTGCTATGGTGTTAATTGTTTGTTTTCTGAAAGCATTCAAATAAAGTGTGGTATCTGTTTTATGTTTTTTGATCCAAAACTCTGAAATAACTTTCTCAGGTACGAGCTGTTCGACGTGACAATGGAGCCAAAACTGATATTACTGTGGCAAATTTAGTCGAACAAGTAAACGATGTGCTTGCCTCTATCCAACAAAATCTATTTGATGTCGCAAAACAAAAGCGGGATGCTTGTGTTCAGGTTGTAAAGACCTGGGATGAATTTGCTGAAGCAGTAAGCCAAAAGAAATTGATCTTGGCTCCTTGGTGTGATGAGGAGGTAAAGTTCTATCAAACTTGTTGCATATGAGATGAATTTTTTAATGTTGGGCTGGGAAAATAGAGGGAATTTCACGGAGTCAGTCTCTGCATCAGGCAAGTTTGATCTTGAAATGCCACATATTGGCAGGGTTGATTTAGTTTATCTACAAATTCAATGGATTGCGATCATGGTCAATTAGCTACTCAATATCTACTGATTATATCAAATTAAATCTAGAAATAACTTGAGATTCATGGTCCCTGTCTAAGAGATATGGTAATAAACAGACTCAGAACCAATGCTTTATTTGTCAGATCTGATCACTAGTTTTCCTTTTTTTTTTTTATATTTTGCACCGGGTGTCCGAGTCTCTTTGAGTCCCGACTAATCCCGGGGGTGCATAGGCCCTCGGCAAGGAGTTTCCCGCAAGTGCACCACGGTTAATTCAGGTTTTACCCAGTCCGATGGCCCTCAGAAATTGTTTGCATCCTGTGGGTTTCGAACTTGAGACCTTGAAAGGGAGCAAACCCCAAGGCTCAAGTGAATCTGATCACTAGTTTTCCTTATGCAGATGGTCATATATTCTTCTCTTTTGTGTGAAGGGGTTTAAAACTCATTAAGCTCTAACTAGGCACACCTTAACCATCTTAAGAAACTCACTTCCATCATCCAGAAATGAAGCATGGATGCTCCTATGTCTGGTTTGTCCGGTTGGACAAATCATGTGCTCACTTTTATGAAACAGGAAAAGATTGTGTCCTAGTTGCAGTTAGTGTTTTCCCTGAGCTGGTGAATAGACTATTTTGGCTACACTGTTACAAATGCCGCCTGCTTTTCCCAGCCCAAAGATGATGAAACTGAGAACGAACTTAAACTAACAAATCTTTCTATAGCACTTTGTTTCATGGTGAGTGCAGGCTCTCTCTCTCTTTCTTGTAATAATAACATTAATTTGCTTAGTGAGTTTGTTATTCCTAATACAGATTCCTTATATTGAGGTGATCAATTTATTCCCAGCTAGATCATCATTTCCTGTTTGCATATGTTTCACATGAACTCTGATACTTTCTAATAGGATGTCGAGAAAGATGTGAAGGCACGGACAAAAGGGGAAATGGGTGCAGCGAAGACTCTTTGTTCTCCATTTGACCAGCCTGAGCTGCCTGAAGGTACTATTTATCCTTGCAGTATGTATAACTATTGCCTAAAACACAGCGAAGTTAAAATAAGCGTTGCCAATCGTAGACTTGTTAATTTTACTGCTGTTTTGGTGGTACTGCTTATTGAAAATTGAATTTTACCATAATCTAATATTATCATTTTCTCCTGCTACGTCGTAGGTACATTGTGCTTTGCCTCGGGTAAACCTGCTAAGAAATGGACATACTGGGGCCGCAGCTATTGATGATTCATATTGATCTCTATTCCATTTTTCTGAGTTCGGGCGATTTAGAAATTGTATTCCGAATTGCTAGTTGTAACCATAGTTTCTTTCTTAACATGTTTTGTGCTGGATAATTCACTTTGTCTTTTGTTTCCCCCTTTTTCCGATCTTATATTGAATTTTATAAGATGCTCTTAAATATTTGCCCCTCGTCTTTTTTCTAACTTATGATTTACTTTAAAACATGGTATACACCAAATGGCTATCTTATCACCGTAGTATTCAGGGTTCGTTCATTCTCATTGCAGCAATGTCTTATCTATATCTAAAGTAAGCAAAGGTAATTAGAATATGGTGAGAGAGCCTTTAATCTTCTGCATCCAGAAGATTAGTAACCTGGCAAATAAAGTAAATAAATTTGTTGCAATAACCTGAATTCTGAACTGCACTTATTTGTAAAATATTTGCATTGGGAGAGTATTAGTTAAAAATACAGACCGATAACGATGCAAAAGGCAAGCCAGAGGAAAAAAAAATGCTAGTAGGAGTATATGTTATCACAATCTAGATTTTGAAACTATTGATAAAGACAAAAGTAGGAAAACATTTTGTAAAAAGGTTAAAGAGATCGATCATCGTATCTTATGATACTTTAAAATAATTTAAGTTCGTTATTTTATGGGGTATGTAAAAACTGATTCCGTAATTGTATAGTGTAATCACTATGCTTACAATAAACTAATCGATAAAATGATATTTTCAAAATTAAGCAATCTGCATATTTCCATACAACCATATGGTGACGATCTAATTAATGATACAGATCCTCATCAATCAACACAATCAGTGGAATTATGCTTACCCCCACCACTAATACAAAAAACACTGACAATAAAATTCCTAATTAAAACACCCAAACCAAAGCCCGAGAAACTCCAAAACCAAAAAAAGATTGGTGGGAGAATAAAAAATCCATCTCTCACCAATCAAGTTTTAAGTCCATAAAACAAAACAAGAAAATTTAAGTAGGTTTCAGATTCTGAAACATTGAATCCCACCTGATTGAGGAAGTCCAATAATCACTATAATCTAGCTCCGTCTTCTCATCACCACGAAGATCATGAACCATAGGACTCGAAAAACTATTAATTCTTGAACTAGGCATGAAAATAGGACTACCATTTGTAAGCAATAAAGTATTTTGCTTAGGTGCCACAACACTACTCTTGTTTCTCTTCATCTTAAGCATTGTTCTCTTCCCTCTTGAACTGTAACTTCTTCTAGGCACAAGAGCAAGAGCTGATTCGTCGCTACGAAGAACCCATGTCCTAAAATACTTGGAAAAACGTTTCTTGGTACGTTTCATTACAAGGAGAAACTTTGACATGGAATTTGGAACAGCTCCTCTCTCTTTCTTGGCAAGTTTGAGAATTTCTAGCCTGTGTTTGGCTATAGAAATTCCCATGCTTTGGAGAAATTCGTGGTTGAAGTAAGGGATGTCGTCTTGTTCAAGCTCGTTATGAGCAAATGCTAGGCCATATTCATAAACAAGTGATGGCTCTAGTTCTGTTTTGGACAGCCAAGAAAACCAATCCATGGCTAATTTGTTGTGTTGTTTGAAAGGAAAATAAATGTGTTTTGGAAATATTTATAAAGCTGAAAGTTAAGACATTGAAGGAAAAGAAAAGATAAAGGCTAAAGAAATGATGAGAAATTGGACATTTGGACTTTGCTTTTTCGTTAGTGTGTGGCTATTACTTTGTTGGGGTGGTAGTTGAAACTTGAGAATGACTAAAAGAGAAAGATGGAGATGTTGAATATGATTTGTGGGGTATTCACTATTTCAAGGCCATGTTCCCTCCAAAATATGGCAAGTGTGAATTGGGACTTTTTCAAAGAGTGAGAAATAAGAAATGTTGGAGAGTTATATTGCCATCAATCACGGCGTGGAAAAAGCTTGGGTATATATTGGGGCCATTAGCCCTACTCGGCTTTTGCTTCTCTTTTGCCTTTGCTCTAGGGATTAGTGATTAGTCACTCCAAAATGCAAGGAGTAGCTTTTCTAATAGCATCAGAGAGAAACCTAAACCTCTAAGCAACAATATTCTTTTTAAATATGGCGTCCGAATCAGGTTCAGTATATGCTATTTTTTACTTAAGCAAGTATAGATAACTATACCTATCGAGACTTAAGTATATGAGAAAAAAATATTTAGCGTTTTTGCCGTTGCTGAAATTTAAACTCTTATCTATGATTTTCATCCCAAGGTCGGTGTGTGCAAACCTCTAAGCCAAACATGTGCATCAATTTTCTTGTTTAAAGACTTTGATTTCTTCTTTTATCTCGCTCTCCACTAATTTGTGTGCTTGGAATACAGTGTGGGTATATGGAAAAAGCTTTTCCGGATCTTTGACTGAGAATCTGCTTTGTCCAGAAGGTACAAAAGTGTAGGTTTGATTAATCATATATTATTGTTAATGAGGTTTGACTCAAATTAATTTGCAAAATCAGGTTTTGCGTGCCATCGTCCTTACCAATTTCCAATATGTTACTAATATCAATGTGGATGTCTACAATACATGCCTAAACAAAACTCCATCAACTAATTTTAATTTGCTATATATTTATAGTATGCGAGTATAATGACACTCTACACTCAACCACAACAAATTCAGTGAATTATCACAAGTAAGGTATTGGAAGGACAGACCCTACTTCTATCCGGAAAGGGCAGAGAAGTTGTGTCCTTACAATGGCCACTCTGCGCTCACTTATTTAAAACCGTGGGCCATTTATTGTGTGTG